TTCACTGCTGGTGGGACTGTAAATGGTACAGCCACTAAGGAAAACAGTATGGAGGTTCTTTAAAAAATTAAGAATAGAGTTACCATATGACCCAGCAACTCCTCTTCTGGGAATCTACCCAAAAACCTTGAAAACATTTATTCACAAAGATATATGTACCCCTATGTTCATTGCAGCATCATTCATGATGGCCAAGTCATGGAAACAACGGAAGTGTCCTTTGATAGAGGATTGGATAGAGAAGTTATGGTACATGTATACAATGGAATACTACTCAGCCATAAGAAATGATAAAATGTTGCCATTGTGACAACATAGATGAACCTTGAGAACATTATGCTACATGAAATGTCAGACAGAAAAAGTTAAGAACCATATAATTTCACTCATATGTGGGATATAAAACTGAAAGCAACAAATTAACAAACAAAAACTCTTAGACAGAGATAACAGGATTGTGGTTACCAGAGGAAAGGAGTGTCAAATATATGGCAACAGATTATTTAACTTTGGGTGGTGGGCACACAATGTGATATACAGATCATATCTCATAAAAATGTACAGTTGTACCCTATATAATCTTATTAACCAATATTACCCTCAATTAATTTAAATTTTAAAAAAATTAAACCAATGTTTGAAAACAAATGATGGGTAAGGAAACATTGGGAATAAAGTTAGCAAAACTGGGAGTGGGGGAAATCATCAGGTGTGTTTTTTAACCATGTATTTACCAAAATTGTTTGTTCACATTAAGCGTAAGCCCTCTAAGAGATAGCATTTTATATGGTTTCTCTGTATATCCCCTGGATCTAGTTTATTTCTGGCACTTAGTACCCAATAAAGTACAATTTGAATATAATTATCATTTCAAATCTCTAAAGGAATACCCTCTGCAGAGGCCTGTGACAGATTGCTCTTCAGCTCTGCTGAACTTACAAATCAAGAAGACAGAGCAAAACAGAAGGAAGAACTTTTCAGCAATTCAGTTGAACGAATCAGGAGAGTGCATGTGTTAGAAATGTTAGCAAGCCCCATCTCTTGGAATTACTTACTTCCAGAATATAGAAGCAGAGAGGAGAACAGGGTGACTTTGGTGGACCCTTTTCTGTCTGTAGAAAGTTCAGAAACTGTTGATTAGTTAAGCCACCACCGAATTCTCCTTTAGGATTCTATCTACTCTCTCCCTACTTTTGAGCTTTTGATGCAGGAAGGAAACAAACTCTCTTGAACTTTCCCATCAGCAATTTGAAGGAACAGACTCAGTGAAAAATGGGTGTTTGCAAACCCCAGGGTCTGTGAAAGGACAGAGCTGAGAACTGAAATGGAAGCAGACCATTGTACCCGGGCCTGGGCAGAGGGCCCAGGTGCTCAGCTCCGAGCAGAGGCTGTGAGCAGCAGCTTCCCTATCATGGGGCAGCCCCTCTGGGCAGCTGTCCTGGCTCTGCCCCAGATCTGGCTGGGCAACCTGCCAGCTCAGCTCTCACTTCTGTCGTTTCAGAACTCATGACCAACACAGCTTACCTGTTTGATGGACACATTCATGTTCAGAAACTGTTCTCGTCAGTGTTATCAGGTTACACGTCTGGAGGATAATATCACTCAAAAGCAATTTTTATTTGACTTTTCAATGGGCAGAGTTTTTTCTAATGCCTTCTTTATTACATTTTTTTTTTTTTTTGTATCCTCACTCGAAGACATTTTCCCATTTTTTTGTTCAGGTAGAGTGGGAGGGAGAGAGAGGAACACAGAGAGAGAGAGAAACATCGATGTGAAAGAAACACATCGAGTGGCTGCCACCCGCACGACCGACCAGGGCCAGGGACAAACCAACCGAGGTACATGCCCTTAGCGGGAACCGAACCCAGGTCTCTCAGGACTGCAGGCGGACGCTCTAACCGCTGAGCCAAACCGGCCAGGGCTCTTTATTACATTTATAATAATTTTTTTACCAAAGATCTGTCACTTAATATTTTCATTTTCCATAACAAAGCATACATAGTTACTAGAGAGGAGAGAAAATAGTGTGTATATATATTATAGATTTCTAAAAGCAAGAGAATATTACAAGACATTTCTCTGTTTATCAGAAGAGGAAACAAAATATCAGTGAAATTAAGTAACTATCATAAAGCAAGTGTTAAAAGTCAGAAGGCTCTCTTACTCCCAGTTCAGTGTTTTATCAAATTCTGTAAAGTGCAAGGGCAGGCTCCATAGAAAGACAAACTGGCCATGGATGAGGCACTAAGCTGCTGAATCAAATAGGCAGTAGAGAGCTAACTCATCCTCTCTTTCAGTATAACAGTTTTTATTTTTAACTTGCAGGAGGTGGTAACCAGGGGGATGAACAGAGTCTTAAAACCTTCTGGAATTCTGAGCTGTGTTTGCCCAAAAAGAGCAACTGGTTAAGTTCTCAGGACGCATGTGGAATATATGATGAGACATATACAATGTCAGCAATATAAAAGCACCTACTTTTTTCCAAGGATGGACGAAGGGTAGATGGGGGTGAAAAAGAGAGAGAAAGTCTCTACAACTGAGGAAGACAAACTCAGAACAACCTGGACTTCCTTTTCTACCTAGGAATCATACATGTAGACTTCATCCTTGTCTTCAGCAACTATTTATAAAGAAGAAAACATTTCTTTTTTAAAAATTATAAATCAAAATGGTAATTTTTAAATTCAAATCTCAAGAAATTTGCTTGTGAAATGCTTCTTTACTGAATGAGGTCATTTTGATATACAGCATGCTGAGAAATGGACAGCACTATATTAAAGAGCCTACAAAAGTTGCTGTATTTGTTGTGCATTTGTCATGAGTTAGGCCCTGGACTAAAACTCTGCATTCCTTTATTCTATGGCTTTCAACCCTTCCTTTAGGTAGATTATCCCCATTTTGCAGACAAGAAAGTTGAGGCCTGGAGATGTTGGTTAATGTGTCTACAACTACAGAGTCACCTAGCACCAGAGTCTGATTCCAAAGTCTACTCTGTAGGAATATCTTTTAATATTCTCTTGCTACAAAGTCTACTATGAACCTACCTATGCTTCATAAAATGTTGGCTTTTTTTTTTTTTGTCCAGAACAAAATTCTTTCTTATGCTGAACAGTCCCATACCTTCGGAGACATGCAGCATCTCTGGCCCTCAAGCACAAAATAGCAGGAGTATCTTCCTACCACCCCAAAAACTAAAATGCCCTCACATATTGACAAACCCTTCTAGAGATGGTTCTCTCTCTAACCCCAACACATTGAAAATAACTGTTAAGGAAAATACTGAATTTCAGAAACTTAGGGTTTTAAAAAATTCAAGCATTCCATTAGTTTAGTGTTTGTAGTTAACTTGTACATTAAAGAATAGTGATAAAGATACCAAAAAAGAGCTATGTTTGATTTTTTTACTTGCTGACTTTGAGCTAATTCTCCCCCCTCCCAAAAAGCATATATTTAGCACCTAATATATACTGGAAAATATGTTAGACATGTAAATGAATGTAAAGTGTATGTGTGTTACAGAGAGAATGAGACAGAGAGAATGATTATTTTACTCATGTTATCCTTGAAGAAAACAATATTTAGAAAACTTAACTTGCCAAGCAGGAATTTTATTTAGGCTTCTTTCCACCATACCAGAGCTATAGTGTGGATATTCAATGAAGATGTCCTATTAGCAATTGGAAATGGGATTTGGAGACATGCTAAAAAGATATCCAACTGTAGTTATAACCAAAAAATTAGAAAGGAAAGAATGAACATGTGAAAATCAGTCACATTTAGCACATTAGAGGTATGCCTTGAACAAGTAATATTGTGATAAGTATTTGTAAGGAAATGATACAGGGGCCTGGCCGGTGTGGCTCAGTGGTTGAGCTTTGACCCATGCATGAAGAGGTCTCTGGTTCAATTCCAATTCAGGGCACATGCCCAGGTTGTGGGCCAGATCCCCAATGGGGGACTTGCAGGAGGCTGCCAATCATGTGTCTCTCTCACATCAATGTTTCTATCTCTCCCTCTCCCTCTTTCTTTCTTTCTCTCTAAAAATCAATAAAGTATGAAAAAGAAAGAAAGAAAGAAAGAAAGAAAGAAAGAAAGAAAGAAAGAAAGAAAGAAAGAAAGAAAGGAAGGAAGGATACCGGAAAGGAAACCGAGTAAGATCAGGATAGAGAAATAAGAGGAAGATGGAATGGTACAACATCAGAAAAAGAAGAAATTGTATTAGCAAATATTGGAGAGGTGGGGAAGAAGCCAGTCAATCCTGCTGAATTAGTCAGGGTGGAAGTGATTGAGGATTGAGGGAAACCTTTTGGAGTTTAATAAGGCTTCTTGGAATTGTAAGCCAATAAATTGAAGAGATTTTCGGGAGGTGATGGATTTTTTTTTTAATTCAACTTTAAAATTCCTTGAAAAGGCAATTGTTTCTTTAAAAAGAGAGAGAGGGGGGAATTTGAAGTGGTTTGAACATAAAAACCAGGTGCTAAGAAGTCAACCCAGAAAGAAAGTGGCTTACGATGGTGCGCAGTATTTGAAGACAAGCTTCAGGGGGATTTACCAGAGGGTGAAAGTCTTGAAAGCAGATCCATTTTGGCATTGAGCTCTCTCAAGTGTGTGACAGGGCTGTAACAATCTTCTCTACGACAAATGTAAGATAATTTTCCAGAGAGAGCTTTATTATCATATTTAGATACCTCCCCTCCTGGGCACAGAGAGCTTCGTTTGTGGCAGTGGGATTCTAGTTACATGGTAAAAAGACTTTCCTGTAAACACATCATTAAATGGTCTGTACCTTTCCCTTAATAGGAAAAGATCTGATGTTTTGGAAAGACCAACGCAGCTCTCTGACGAGAAGGGCTCACTAGTGGTGAGCTCAGTACTTTGTCAGATACTTTGTTCTTTAGTCAGCCTCCTGAGCTAGAGCGAAGGATGTGGCTAGGGTAGGAGGCGGAGACTGCATGTGTGTGCATGTGTGCGTGTGTGTTTTCTCATTTCCGCTTCCCCTTTCAAGCGGGCAACAGCCGTTTAATGAGGACAGAGAGAAAGGTGCAATATGCAATATGATACTTTCTCACTGTCTTCACTGCAATCCCCATACCTGGGAAACGGTGGGCCCAGCTTTGAAAACTGCGTTGCTTCAAACCCAGCTCTCTACCAGCAGACAGGTGAGTGCAACTTCCACTTCGATTTTAAGACTATACTGATCTAAAATGATGCTGGGAGACAGGAGGAAACAGGTCAAAGAAAAATCAGACCGAGAAGAAAAGAGAAAAATCAGGAGAAAATCGTGCACACCCTTGAATCCAAACTTTAAAAATTCATCATTGTGCCCTGGCCGGTTTGGCTCAGCGGTTAGAGCGTTGGCCTGCGGTCTGGAGAGACCCGGGTTCAGTTCCCGCTAAGGGCACTTACCTCGGTTGCAGTTTGTCCCCGGCCCTGGTTGGTCGTGCGGTGGCAGCCACTCGATGTGTCCCTTTCACATCGATGTTTCTCTCTCTTTCTCTCACCCTTCCCCTCTATCTGAACAAAATATCGTAAGATGTCCTCAGGTGAGGATAAAAAAAAAAAAAATTCATCATTGTGCCTCTTGGTACAAGAGATTCCTTTTACATTCATTTTTCCTCCCATTACCAGAGAGGTACTCTTTCTAGGGTCATGAGACGTGGATTCCTTTGATGCTCTGAATTAATATTTAGGAATTTTTTACCTTTCTCACCTGAGAAGTTTATATCTATGTCGGGTTGTACTCACTTTTGCTGTAAATTCAAGTAATTCTAACTCTGAAAGATTCTCCAGGAGCAAAGTTTCTCAGCTTCATTGCAGGTCCCATTCTAGTGTCCATAACTCTGACTATTGAGACTACCTGGCCTGAATCAATTTTGTTTTTTTGTGGGTATGAACTTTCTTCAGAAGTCATGGAACAAAGCTGTTGAGGAATAAACTACAGCAAGACAGATTGGGGTTACATATGAAGTTACACAATTGGACAAGAACAGGCCAAATTAACTGGGAAGCTCATGATTTTCAGCTGTACATGTCAAGAGGGATAGATGAATATGTTGACTAGTTAATGACCTACAAAATCCTGGGGGAAGCGGAATGGATTCTATGCTTCTCCAACATCCTTGTCTTAGTGGTAGCCAAGCTGAACATGTCACCACCTACATGTATTTTGGGGAGGGTAGAGGAGTGGAAAGATCCACTGCACTGGGGTTTTCCCGCACCCCTGCCATGCTACTGAGCTCACCAGTGGGTAAAGGAGAAAAGGTAGGTCCCCCGTGCAGAACAAGTACAAGATAAAAGAGCCCTCCAGGTGTGGTTTGATAAGACCATGAGGGTTTGGAACAGATACCCAGGGAAGTAACAGTGACTCCATCTACCACAAACGGCCTTGCATAGAGAGGCCCAGGGACTTTCTACATGGCAGTGCCAAGGATAGGAGGTCGGAGGTTGGAAGCTTTCAGCTTGCGTATTAAAGTTTTAGACCTCACAGTTATCAGGCTTAAGTGATTAAAGATAAAGATCTGGTGTGATGTATCTCTTCTCATCACCCCTCCCCCTGAGATCTGTCAGTCTGTTCCATGCCTCCATGCCTCAAGACTTATTTTGTTGGTCAATTTATTTTATTCATGAGATTCCACAAATAAGTGAGATCCTGTGATATTTGTCTTTCTCTAATTGGCTTATTTTTACTTAGTATGATAATCTCCAGGTCCAGAGGGGGGTAAAATGAGAGAGGGGAGTGGGGACATCTGTAATAGAAGGTCAGGTGTGATGGTGTGATTTTCCTGTAATGTGAAGCATTATTAGGAAGAGGGTAAGCCAGGTTTATTATCTGTTTCTACATATTATCAGAGATAACAAGCTGAAGATATAACAAAGGGGACAGAAAGAGATCTAACAAGTGATTTCTTATTCACAGGCACCCCAGGGAGCTTAGAAATTCTCTACAACCATTCTAAGAACATTTTCTCATAACTCCTTCAGCCCTCTGAAAGTTAGATGGGATCCAGTGATGAAGCATTATGTAGTGGCCATAGAGACCCAACATAGTCATTTTCAGTTCAAGGTTTATGATTCTTATTCTAATAGAGAATGGAGAGAAAGTCTGGTCCCAGTTCAGATCATGATTCACAAGGTCCACTCTGGACTCCAGTAAAGAAAAGAGATCAGACATTTATTTCCATTTGATAACTGACAACTGTTCTGTTTTCCACCTGAAAGACAAGACCAAAGTGGGTATCCTGATACCCACTGTACTCTGTGCCCTGCCCATCCCAGGCCTAGGCAGAAAGGCTTAAACATAGCTTTTGAGGAGAAGAGTAAGTTCAGATATTGTGAAAGAAAAAAAAGGAAAGATAAAAATTAGTACATGAGGGAAAGAGCTTCATTACCAAGGAAATAGGACTGAAGAATTCAAGGTATGAATTCACAGAACGCAATGATCAAGAAATCTGCTCATTCTCCCTCATCTCTAGACTAAGCTGTCTGTAAACCAGTCCAGTTGAACTAATGTTTCTTTTTTTAAAAAATATTTGTGTGGTTTTTATTACATTTATTGGAGTAACATTGGCTAATAATATTATATAAGTTTCAAGTGTATATTTCTGTGATGCATGATCTATATATTCATTGTGTGCCCACCACCCAAAGTCAAATCATCTTCTGTCACCGTATATTTGACCCCCTTTACCCTTTACTATTCCCACTCCCCTGCTTTCTGGTAACCACCAAATTGTTGTCAGTGTCTATGAGTTTTTGTTTGTTCATTTCTCACTTTCAGTTTTCTGTCTAACTTGTTTCCCTTAGCATGATATTCTTAAGGTTCATTCATGTTATTGCAAATGGCAGTATTTCATCTTTTCTTATGGCTCAATACTTAGTATTCCATTGTATATATGTACCACATCTTCTTTATCCCATCATCTATTGAAGGGCATATCTTGGCCACCATGAATAATGCTGCAATGGACACAGGGGTGCATATATCTTTGCAAATAAATATTTTCATTTTGGGGGTAGATATCCAGAAGAGGGTTGCTGGGTCGTATGGTAACTCTATTCTTAATTCTTTGAGGAACCTCCATACTGTTTTCCATAATGGCTGTTTATATTCCCATCAGCAGTGAATAAGGTTTTTTTTTGTCTCCACAACCTCTCCAACACTTGATATCTTATTCTTGATGTCTTTAGAGCCTATCTAGATAAATAAAATTTAGACTTGCCCAACACTGAGCGCACAAGATTACTTTTTTTCAAATGTGCAACTTTAATATTTCCTGTAGCAGCTTGCAAGCCTTTTATAAAACTCATCAACCTCACTGAAGTAAGAAAGAAGGGGAAGGAGAGAAAAAGAGGTCTTAGGTGTCTTATTTTAGTATTTATTCAGCTAAACTTATTTTGAGGGAGAAAGGATGAAAGGAGGAGAAGAGTTATATTGATGAACTGACACTTTTCTTGGTATTATTCATCAGATAACATCTCCCCTTTTCCCTGAAATAGATTGAACTGCTCTCTTAGACCATAGAAGTCTCAGAATGCTCAAATGCTATTTTCAGTAATTTTTGTTCTGATAATCTTACAAACTGCAGTGGCATGAAAGAGGATTTGAAATTAGGAAGATATTTCCTATCTATGAAGGCATGTGAGAGGATGTTGAATTAGGTTGTGTAGAGGAGGTAGTCAATCTAGCTTGAGGTAAAGTGTGTCCCATCCAGAAACAAAGAAATGTTGACTTTCCCGGGATGTCCCACAGCCCTTTCCAATAGAGCTGATGTTTGTCTTGGTTGTGAAAGCGGATAAGATGCAGAAGGTCTTATGGGCACCATCATGGAAACTCCATTTCCTTTTTTTCTCCTCCCACGCTTGTTTTCATTCTCGGTCCCAGTTCACAGACACTGTTTGAGATGGAGGAACAAATCAGACAGAAGAGAAGAGAGATCTGTCTGATACGTGTCCCTGGGAGGAGGCTCAGAGAGTTAAACTGAGGCAGGAACTTGCAAACCAAGAATGGCGGGAGGAAGTCTATCTGATATAGAGGAAGAAAACATACACCTGGGACTCAGAACTTATAAGTGTGAGTTCCATTTATAACCATTAATAGTCTATCTCTCTCTTAATCTATCCCTATCTATCTCTTTTTCTTTCCCTTTCAGTTTCCTCAACTTCAAAATGAGGGGCCAACATTAGATGATCTCTCAGATTCCTTTGGATACTGAGAATGAAAGACTCAGTCATTGCATACTTTTTATCTGTGCTTGACAGCAGCATACCTCCCTCACCATCTGGACTTTACACACTCTATACCCCCTGCTGCCTACTCTTTCCTTATTTCCTTGTGCCTGAAAATGTTCCAACTTTAGTAAATGGTTTAGGCTGAGGGAAGGTTAATAATAATAAGAATAATAACTGCTATCATTTATTAAGCACCTCCTTTATACATCAGGGACTTAATATGCTGGGTGGGCAAAAGTAGATTTACAGTTGTGAGTACACAAAACAGTTTTTTTATTTATTTATTTATTTTTTAATCCTCATCCGAGGACACTTTTCCATTTTTTGTACAGAGTGGGAGGGAGAGAGGGAAACATCGATGTGAAAGGGACACATCGAGTGGCTGCCACCCGCACGACCAACCAGGGCCGGGGACAAACTGCAACCGAGGTACATGCCCCCAGCGGGAACCGAACCCGGGCCTCTCCGGACCGCAGGCGGACGCTCTAACCGCTGAGCCAAACCGGCCAGGGCCAAAACAGTTTATTTTTGTATTATTAATTAATTTTTGTATTATTTTCCATAAGAACAAATGTAAACCTACTTTTGCCCTACTATGTATATTATCCGATTTTAACCCCCAATAGCCCAACAAGTTTGAAACATTATCTGTCTTACATATGACAAAACTTAGGTTTAGAGGGGATAAGTGATTTTATGAAGGACACATGCAGTTAGTAGACAGAATTGTGATTCCAAGCAAAACTTATTCTGATTCCATGGCCCATGCTTTCTACAGTTTTCCTTCTCAAGAGCTGACCATTGTTCCTGAGCCTTTTTTTTTTTTTAAGTCCTCACTCAAGAATATGTTTAATGATATTTTTTAAAAAAAATTTTTTTAGAGAGAGAGAGAAAGATCTATGTGAGATAGAAACATCAATTGGTTGCCTTC